CCAACATTTCACGAAGTGGGGTCCATACAGTTGCAGCACGCCAGTTGGTTGGAGTGCACCGAGTCTCGGATCTCCGCAAATGTGGAAATCCCAGGGCCTCTGAGTTAGTTAGGCCCTGGGCACTTGAACCGTTGAACGTGAGGCCGACAATGCATGCTGGGTAGAGAGGCCGAAAATGCCAAAGGGAAATCAGCCCACTATCTGAATCTGGCCGCAGGCCTTGACGAAAGAGGTGCAACTGCATTCCCCGAGCCTCANGAGAGGCCGAAAATGCCAAAGGGAAATCAGCCCACTATCTGAATCTGGCCGCAGGCCTTGACGAAAGAGGTGCAACTGCATTCCCCGAGCCTCAACTGCATCAGGCCTTGGTTCAGGCATTGCGGCCCAGACGCAGGCTGAACGGAGGCCGCCCACACGGAACACTGGCATATAGGCAAGCAGGGCGAGTGGGCAGGGATCTTGGCGAGTGCGGGCAATGCCGGCATGCTGCGCAATTGCGAGCAGCTGCGCTGCGCTAGGCTGAGGTGAAGGGCAGGCAGGCGCCAGGCGGAAGGGCGCTGTCTGTGCACAGGGCGCTGGCGGCCATAGCCAGGCTGCCTGTGGCCGCAGAGGAGGAAGGGCGAAGGTGGTTCTTCGGAGGTGAAGGGCGCTTTGTGGGACAACAAGGGAGAGTGTGGGTGAAGAAGAGAGACGTACCTGGTGGAGGTGGAGGTCGGCATTGGTGTTGACATCATCACTCGCTGGTCGTCAAGTTGTCTGGTTGCTTTCATACTATAGTTGTAGTGTTAGGTTGTAGAGTAGGTAGTTGTAGTGTTAGGTTGTAGAGTAGGTAGTTGTAGTGTTAGGTTGTAGAGTAGGTAGGGTGTCTGGCGCCATTCAAGAGAGAGAGCTACATTGGGTTATGCTGTTGGGCTTGGACATTGACTCACGATTCTTCTGTATCGTTCTCAAATGGATGGTTACTCGGTTCCATTGTGCTATCTGCTCTTGCTTTGACTACTTGGACTTCAGTGTGATTTTGCAATCTGGATTTATGTGCTTCGTCCATATTCATGTTCCTTGCAATTTGGTATCGGAGCTGGTTTGATTTGCCACTTACCTTGGTGCGCTGGCGTTATACAGACTTGGTGCGTTGACGATGCTTCTTCGCAGTTGGTTCTTGTGATGTCAGACCATGTTAGGCGCACAACCTAGGTAGAGAGGTGTGCGCCAGAAGGCTAAGACGGCATTAAGCCGTGGTGACAGGTGGAATGTATGATTGGTGATGAGAGCATGTTGATGTGGCATTCGGCTGAGGTGGCACTGCATTGCGTTGTGGGTGGTACCGAGGCCAAGACCGGTCATCAAATGCACACTCAGCTCAATTGGTGAGAAATCTGTGGTTGGGGGCAGTTATCTCCAGGTACGTTGTTCCCTTACCTTATCTACTCTCTCAATCTCTTCTTACCGTGAGGAAGTGAGTCCAACTTGACAGTCCTCTCTTTTGGTGAGGTGTCGTGAGCGCGCTACCTTGAGAGACGACAATCTTCCCGGAAACATCTGGAAGGAGAAAGGGCGGTGCCTTTGAAGGGCTCTGGTCGAAGCACTGGGTCACGGTCACCATACCAACCCAATGGGAGTAGGTCACGCATGCGATGGCTGCTGTCCATTTTGGCACTTGCTGCGCTGAATAGAAGTCCTGTCGGGTGTGTCAGCCTTTTATGAGACGCTTACCGGACCGTCTATAAACATTTCTGGTTGGGGACTCGGATTGATTCTGGCTGTGATCGTCGTCCTGACTGCGACGTTAAATAATTCCTGAAGAGATGGGGGCGCTCTTAATATTCCTCCTGATCAGCCAGATCAACCGGGTGTAAGGATCGTTCCGTACGAGGGTAAATAAGAGTGGACTGGCTGGCTTGCTCGGTAACGACTTGGGCACAGGGGTGGGCTGACATTGCACACGAAGACACCGCTGCTCAATGATGTTGTTTGGTATGTTGGATTGAGGGGAAGGGTAGGTTCTAATTGATGCTCAACTGAATACACAACCATACCCACTATTCATATATCTTCAACATGGTCTTCTTTTATCTTTGATTAGTTGGTGGACAGACTGCTAACACCTCACAGACAGATTAGAGTAGGACTGTTGTATACTACCATAGCCAGTTTTATCTAATGATGTTGTAAGTGAACCAATCAAGATACATCTAGACTATGTTGACAATCTGTTGTGAATGTTGTAGATTGCCACTTGATCGGTAAAGTAGGGGACCTGCCGGACACAACTATTTTTAGAAAATTAGGTGCCGGTCAGACACATGTTGTGGTAGGACTCCACTGGGGGGTTCTAGTGCAGATAATGTTTGCCTAATTGATGAACGGGTCAGACGTCGATGAGGAGAGAGTTGACGATGCAAGACTGACACGTTTGGGATCACGTAGGATCCCGCACGTGTTCCAGGCCCTAGAACCGGGAGAAGAAAGACGGCTTCGTGCCGAACACCGAGCCCGTGCACTAGCAGCAGCTAGGGAAACAGCGAACGCCGCAGCTAGGGAACAGGCTGCAGCAGCAGCCAGAGCAGTAGCCATGTCTTCTGCAGCAGCATCCTCGGTTGTGTCCTCGTCTGGGACCAATGGGACCATGTTGGGAATGCCCACAGGGTCCACGGGTACTTCCAGTTCAGTAGGTTCTCGGCAGTCTACAAGTCAAATGGTGGGCTCACAGTTCAGCCCGTTGACTCCTCGTGAAAGGGAGCTGCTAGAGCTCCAACAGGTCGAAAGGATCCGTGAACGATTAGAGAGGGAACTGAAACAGGCAACCGATAGAGAAAGAGAGATCAAAAATAGAATAGCCAGGCTTGAAACGTTAGAGGCAGACAAAGCTGAGTTAGAGGGTTTGGATGAGTCAAGACTGTCTAACTCAATGAAAACATTGAGGAACAATATGTTGTCGCTGCATGCGCACATGGACAGTCGATTGGACTTTATGCAAAACACTCTAGACCAGATCCTGGACATTTTGCAAAGGCCAGGATTCAGGCCACCAGCACAGTCACCGTTGCCGTTAACGGCGATGTCGGGCCCCTTTCCAGTTCAAGTTGGCACACAACCAAGTGGCACGTCTGCAGCAGCTGCACAGACTGTTGCTTCTTCTTCTTCGGGTCCAGTGGTGGGTGCTACACCACCGCAACAACCTGTTCCTCAACAAGGACAGCACCAAGGTGGATGGTACCCTAAGACCCCAATGAAACCGCCTCTTGCCTTCTGAGGCGAGAGGAAGGACGAAGAACTCAACACTTGGTTGAGAACAGTTCCGGTTTGGGTAAAGGCGAAGAGGACCTTGCCGGAGGACGAAGTGGTTACTGTTGCATCTTACCTCGAGGGTAAGGCAGCCAAATGGTTAGATGGTATAGTTGCAAAGGTCGGGTATGGACGACGCATGGCGGACTGGGCTAAGTCAATTACGTTAGACCAGTTCTTCGAGATGGTAGAAGCTCGCTGGCACAATCCTCAGCAGGCACAAATGGCCACTGATGCGATAAACAGACTAGATCAAAGAAAGTTCAAGTCAGTCAAAGAGCTTACGACTACCGTGGAAAGTCTCATCATCGTCCCGGGCATCAACTATGATAATCAGTTCTTGTTGACAACCTTTGTAAGATGTCTTCCAAAGAACCTCAGGAACTTGCTGGCCAGCGAGGCTCGCCTCAAGTACCACTCGTTTGAGACATTGTCTAGAAAAGCCTTAGACTTAGCGGCTACACTAGGGAATGCTCAACCCACTCAAAATGACGCGAGGAAGAAGAAGAGTCTGCAAGAATGGAAAAAGAAGGGGGCTAAGTTCATGATGGTTGAGTCCGATGGGACTCAAACAAAAATTGATGAGCTCACAGACCTGCTGGACAGTTCAGAGTACGACAGCGAGGAGATCGCTGAGGGTAGCACCCTCGCCGCAGTAGTCAAGGCTAAGGCGGGTGGTCGAGGAAAGGGTCATCCAAAGAGTCAAGGGAAGGCCGCCTCCAATCAGACCAAAGTGGCTGATTGGGTCAAGGCAGGTCTTGATCAAGACGTGTGGCGGGACCGCCGAGTGCGTGGCGCTTGTATAAACTGTGGTGAATACGGACACACCTAGTACAAGTGCCAGAACGCCAAGGTCACGCAGAAGATACCTCCCAAGATGGGGGCGTCTTCTTCCCAGGCTTCTAGCTCGGGAAACACGTGAGGCCGGTGGAAGTTTTAGCTGCTTCACTCAAGGTGAAGTGGGCCAGATACCCTCCCCACTTCATGAGAGGGCCATAGCTAATGACTCTTAAGTTGCCCCGCAGACTCATCTAGACCAAACTATGCTTTGTACGTTAGACGTGTCTGAAGCCTTGGAAGATCTGGAAAGCGAGTGGTCAAACAAGGACCCTCGCGAATCTTGGGTGGCACTAAAGAAAGGTCCTAGAGGGGAACATTTTGTGGTGGAAGTCGATGTAGGAGGCCGCAAATGTGGAGCCTTCATAGACATAGGCTCCACGCGGAATTACATAAGTCGCGACTGTTTGGAAAGGTTGCACCTACAGGACCGGGTACGGCACCTTAGTAGACTTGTAGCATCTACTTTGGCCAACAAGGAGCGCATGATAGTCACAGACTATATAAAGGACGTAGTCTGTACCTTCTCCTATGGAGGAGGAGAACTTAATCATAAGATTTCGTTCCATTCGACATGTTATTAGGCATATACTACCTTGAGGTTGCTAAGCCCCAGTTCGACTGGGATAAGAAGGTGCTAAAGCATAAGTTACCCGATGGCAGGACAGTCAAATTGACTAAGTTCAAAGCCAATAGCATAATAGATACCTATGGCTGCTTGTGCGCATCAGCGTTCTCTAACTATTACAAATAGAACCAAGAGGAAGGTATGTACCTTGTGTATGTCTCTAAGAAAGGGGAGGCCGTTAAAACACCCCCAGAGATAGAACGCATCGTTGCTAAGTTCCCTGATCTGTTCGAAGAGCCCACAGGGGTCGTAGAAAGGGAAGTTGTCCATGCTATAGAAATCATCCCAGGGAGTAAGACCCCAAAGGGGAGGATCTATAGGATGGCTCCCGCCGAGTTAGATGAACTTTGGCGACAACTGAAAGAGCTGACAGAGAAGGGATGGATCCGGCCTAGTACTTCCCATTACGGATCTCCAGTGTTATTCGTACCGAAGAAGGGGGGTACGTTAAGGATGTGCATTGATTATAGAGGCCTCAATGCCATCACCGTGAAGAACGCAGAGCCTCTACCTCGCATAGATGACCTACTGGATAGGGTGAAGGGATGCAAGTACTATAGCAAAATAGACTTGAAATCCGGCTATCATCAGATCGCTATAAGACCTGAGGACCAACACAAGACAGCTTTTCAGACTCGATATGGTCTGTATGAGTTTGTAGTGGTGCCCTTTGGTCTTTGCAATGCGCCGGGAACATTCCAGCACGCTATGAATCGGATCTTCCATGACCATTTAGATAAGTTTGTCGTGGTTTACCTTGATGACATTCTGATCTTTAGTAAGTCTGCCGAGGAGCATGCACAGCACGTTGAAACTGTACTTTCACTCCTGCGACAGCACAAGTATAAGGTCAACCTAGAGAAGTGTGAGTTTGGTCGCACTAAGATATTATACTTGGGTCATGAAGTACCCGCGGAAGGGATTAGGCCGGAAGATGCGAAGGTGGCTAGTATTCGAGACTGGCCAGAACCTCAGACTGTCACTGAGGTCAGATCTTTCTTAGGAATGTGCGGTTACTATAGGAACTTCGTAAAGAACTATTCTACAGTCGCCTCTCCTTTGACAGATCTAACTCGACTTGACACGCCATGGGACTGGAGTGATGAGTGCGAGGGTGCTTTCAAGCAATTGAAGCATGCACTCATGAATCACGAAGTTCTCATGGTTTCCGATCCTCAGAAGCCATTCATAGTGACCACTGACGCAAGCCAATACGGCATTGGCACAGTGCTAGCTCAACAGGATGGGAAGAAGTTGAGACCGATTGAGTACATGAGCAAGAAAATGTCATCGAAGAAATTGGCAAAGTCCACCTACGAAAGGGAACTCTATGCTCTCTATAAGGCACTTCTCCATTGGAGACACTTTCTGTTGGGACGGTTCTTCTACTTGAGAACTGACCATCAGACGCTCAAATGGATCAAGACTCAACCGACTCTTTCTCAACGCTGGATTGAGGTCATAGACCAATATGACTTCAAGCTTGAGTATCTGAAGGGAGAGTACAACAAGGTTGCGGATGCGCTATCTCGAAGAGCAGACTACCTAGGGGCGCTAGTTTCTGAGTTTGGTGTATCTCAGGAAGTAACTCAATCGTTGGTGGGAGCCTATCAGGAAGACCCTGTCATGATGGACATCATGCGCAAACTTCAGGCAAAAGACAAGGTCACAGAAAGCGAGTTTGTGATGGTGGATGGGTTACTCTTTCTTGATAAGGCCGGATGTAAAAGGTTAGTAGTTCCATAGAGTGAGAGTTTGCGTAGTTTATTTCTATGAGAATGTCACGACGCAACTGGACACTTCGGCTACAAGAAGACGAGTGTTAATCTAGTACAGCGATTTTGGTGGCCTGGAATGCTAGATGACGCAAAGAAGTATGTAGAGACCTGTCAAGTCTGTCAGCGGGACAACCCGAGAACTCAAGCACCGCTTGGGTTGCTGAAGCCCTTACCTATCCCCGCTGGTCCACGACAGAGTGTTTCCATGGATTTCATGGACACCCTGGTGACCAGTAAGAGTGGCAAGAGGCACATTTTCGTCATCATCGATCGATTCACCAAGTACGCAAGACTAGTTGCCATGCCAGAGACCGCAAGGACGGACCATGTCATCAAGTTGTTCCAGGACAGCTGGGTGCGTGACTTTGGTTTACCAAAGACAATCCTTAGTGACAGAGATGTTCATTTCACAAGTGAGTTGTGGAAGAAGACTGTTGAGCAGATGGGCAGTCAACTTCAGATGACTTCAGGGAATCATCCCGAAGCCAACGGACAGGCCGAGCAAATGAATAGAGTTGTACAGCACTTGTTGAGGCATTACATAAAACCCAGCCAGGATGACTGGGATGAGAAGTTGCCTCTCATCGCCAGCCTCTACAACAACGTTGTGCACAGCAGTACCAGCGTTAGTCCTAACCAGCTGCACTTGGGATGGAAGCCTAGATCCGATCTAGACTTCCTCCTACCTGAAAACCGATCCTCTGCAACTCCAGGCACACTTGAATATGGTGTGCAGTATGAGAAGTTGCTGCAGCAAGCTGTCGAGCACATCAAGAAAGCTCAGCAACCAATGATTGCTTCTGAGAACAAGCATCGACGACAGTCCTCATTTCAGGTAGGGGAACGTGTCTGGGTCAAGGCTAGTGAGCTAGGACAAGAATTCGGTATCTCTAGAAAACTAATGCCTCAGTATTTTGGTCCTTGGGAAGTCCTGGATGTAGTGGGGGATGAGATGGATGGTCCTACCTATGTTATCCGTATCCCTGGACACCTACGCACTCACCTTGTCTTTCATGCCTCAAAGCTTGCACCTTTCGTTGAGACTGATCAATTCCCTTCAAGGAGATCGATGCTGCCCCCAACCATGCATGGTCAAGTGGACATCGACGACATTGTGGATCACAGAGATCTGCCTGTTCAAAAGCCATTGGGTAGAGGAAGACCTCCTAAACCCAAGAGAAAATATCGCGTCAGATTCAGGCATCGTACGGATCCAAAAGAAAACCGGTGGTTCACCAGAGAGGAACTGATTGACACAGCTCCTCAAGTGGTGGCACAATATGAGAGGATGCTGAAAGGGAAGGCACCTGCGAAGTAAGCATCTCAACGGACTTTCAAAGCTAAGGGGGATGGAATGCGAGGATTGAGCCCTCAAGAAGGGGCCTTGCCATGATGAACACGTTTTGGGCTAAGGCCCCAGCAAGCCTAGTGCCCGCCCTAAGTGAAGGCGGGGCAGCAAATCAACAAGAGCCCTCTGTGCAAACATTTCACAAAGTGGGGTCCATACAGTTGCAGCACATCAGTTGGTTGGAGTGCACCGAGTCTCAGATCTCCGCAAATGTGGAAATCCCAGGGCCTCTGAGTTAGTTAGGCCTTGGGCACTTGAACCGTTGAACGTGAGGCCGACAATGCATGCTGGGAAGAGAGGCCGAAAATGCCAAAGGGAAATCAGCCCACTATCTGAATCTGGCCGCAGGCCTTGACGAAAGAGGTGCAACTGCATTCCCCGAGCCTCAATTGCATCAGGCCTTGGTTCAGGCATTGCGGCCCAGACGCAGGCTGAACGGAGGCCGCCCACACGCAACACTGGCATATAGGCAAGCAGGGCGAGTGGGCAGGAGGGATCTTGGCCAGTGCGGGCAATGCCGGCATGCTGCGCAATTGCTTTCATACTATAGTTGTAGTGTTAACTTGTAGAGTAGGTAGGGCGCCTGGCGCCATTCAAGAGAGAGAGCTACATTGGGTTATGTTGTTGGGCTTGGACATTGACTCACGATTCTTCTGTATCGTTCTCAAATGGACGGTTACTCGGTTCCATTGTGCTATCTGCTCTTGCTTTGACTACTTGGACTTCAGTGTGATTTTGCAATCTGGATTTCTGTGCTTCGTCCATATTCATGTTCCTTGCAATTTCTTGCCAGCGGAAAAAAAAAATTCGCGGGTTGAGTTGAACCCCGTTCTAACATGGTTAAGCGCGGAGTTGTAACGGGGGTTCAACGGGAGTTGAACCCTTCAATGGCAAACCCCCGTTCAATCCAATTTCGGACACATAGGTGGGAGGTCCTCATCGAGGAAAGTGGTTTACTTCACATGGCATCTTTGGTTTCTGTCTCCAACGCTTATCTTTACTCAGCGGATTGCACTATGCATCATCAAGTAGTCGGTATCCCTATGGGCACTCATGCTGGGCCAGAAACTGCCAATCTCGCGGTCTATTGGGACAAGTCACAATTCATCAATGAAATTAGTCAGCAGGATCGATGCGCAGCTCAAGCCTATGCACTGAATTTCATGTGTCCGGTCAGTCACGACATTTCGGTCTGGAATAAATCTTTATCCCCTCAGTACGCTCTTGTGGAAAGACACTACTGAGCAAGATGGGTTATGTCTCTTCCTCAGGGTAAGAACCTCCGTCCGATCAGACGGCTCACAGTGACTTCGTATTGAAGTGTTTGATAAGGTTCGGGCTCAGACATTCGCCATCATACACTATCCCAATGCTTCATCCAGATCATCACGAGTCATCAGTCCGCAAGCGTACTCACGGGATAGCTGGCGAGGTTCAAGCATATTTGTGACAAGCCTGCCGACTTCAAAGCAGCACCGGCTTCGTTGACGCAACCTATACTTGTCAGGGGTCATCTCCATAACGTCCTGGCCAAAGCTTGAGCTGGTTATGTGTGTGGGCGGCAGCATCGTCTGCCCACTCATGTCATCTGGATTACAAACTGGTTTCATCACGTGGTGCATTGGTCACGTTCCCACCCACTGCCTAAGCCAATTCTGAGCACAGTCAGCATCAACCCTCCATACAACCACACGCAGTGGGCCCGCCCTCATCAGCTATTACTACCGGACCTAGTCCGGAGGTGGTCGCTATTGTGGATGCTGCAATCTGGCTGGAAACCAGACCATCCATAGCAGACAACATAAAAATGTTGTTGAAATGGCTGCAGCCTGCAGGGGATAATAGCTCGCACCCTACCATTGTGGATGCTGCTGCAAGTGTGCGCCCATAGACTGAAGAGTGACCCGCAACCCGACCCTAAAGGTGATCCACAAGAAAGAGATCTGAATAGTCAAGTAGACCAGCTGACAGCAAGGCTAATAGAAGTAGAGTGGAGCTGAGAGCGGATAATTGTTTGTCAACCGCTGTCTCCATCGATTCTTCCCCGGCCGATCCTCTGCACCCACAACCACCACCACCACCACCAGCCCCTTCACCTGCATTTTCTACTACGTCATCCTTTTTGTCCACTGGTCCGTCATCGCCCTCGTCATTAACACACGCACGGTCAGATCGGCCATCACAGATGCCTCTTTGACGGAGACATTCCCCATCTCCATCACCCCCTCGAGGACAACCGCCTCATTTGTACGTGAACAACTTGCTCATCACACCCCCAGCAGGAGTCAGAGATCTACTCCMCCGCCATGCTCGCAACCGTACAGAACCACGCCGTCACTCTCAATACATACTACGAGTAGCCCGGAACAGTACATACTGAATTCGCTATCCACAACGTGGTGATCAATTTTTCAGCGTTGCAGGCTTGTGTATGTACCAAGCACAAGGTGCAGCCACCTGTGCAGCATTTGCACAACTAGCAGTCACCGCTTCTTGCATCTTAAGCCGCCAGAAGTTGGCCCAGCTATCGATGTCGAGCCTGGAATGCCCCTGCGTCCCAATTTTTGCCAAAGCGCCGGGGTACTGTTTCAATTTTTTTTTGGCTGGCGCTTCCAGCCATTGTGGTCCAGTACCCCGAAGCCCTAAAGGGGCAGCGCGTTAACAGGGAAGCGCYGCRGCCRATAGCTGGGCCGAGTACTGGTGGTTTAAGCCACCAGTACACGKCCCCAGYCTTGCAGAAAGTTTTTGCTGTCACAAGCAAAACTCGGAGGGGCCGTGTGGCATGGGGCACCATTGAAAAGAAAAATATKCGRCCTCTGAAGTTGTGCAGGTTCCACTCTGACACCTGGCCCCCGATTGGAGATGATCCCTGTTCAGAACGCATGCCAGAGCCTATCGAGATATGACAGCTAAAGGTGT